CAGGCAGTTATGAGCTGCCATGTGGGTGTTGGGAATTGAACCCGGATCCTCTGGAAGAGCAGCCAGTGCTCTTAACCGCTGAGCCATCTCTCCAGCCCTAAAAGCACTTTTTGTTTGTTTGTCTATTTTTCAAGATAGGGTTTCTCTGTGTATCCCTGGCTGTCCTGGAACTCACTTTGTAGACCAGGCTGGCCTCAAACTTAGAGATCCACCTGCCTCTGCCTCCTGAGTGCTGAGATTAAAGGCATGCACCACCACCACCTGGCCTAAAAGCACTTTTAAATTAACTTAATAAAGCTATATATTACAAAGACATAATTAACAAAAAATGAGTTTGTTAAATAATGAAAAAAACTGAGAAATTCATGCCTCTTTTAAAAAGGCAAGATTTCTAATCCTGGAGAATTATAACAATGTTGACATTATTAAAATGGAATCTTAAAGCAGGGCAGTGGTGGCCCATGCCTTTAATCCAGCACTCAGGAGGTAGAGGCAAGTGGATCTTTGTGAGTTTGAGGCCAGCCTGGTGTACAAATTGAGTTCCAGGACAGCCAGGGCTGTTACACAGAGAAACCCTGTCTTGAAAACACAAAACAAAACAAAACAAAACAAAACAAAAAACCCAAACAAACAAACAAATAAACAAATAAACAACAACAAAAAGAATCTCGAAAAACCAAATAAATAAAAAGGAATGGCTACATCAAATAGCAATTTAGGAACATATGTTACACACATTTCAGAGTAACTCCCAAATAGAATAGTTTATTTGACAAGCTATTCCATTGGTGTTTAGCAGACATGACCGTGATGGAAAAAGAAAAAAAATGTTTTCAGTATAAAAACAATAAAGTTTAAAAGAGGAAAAGCAAAACCTGGTGAGTCAGCTCGGTGGGTAGGTGTCTGCTGCTAAGTCTGAAGCCCTGAGATTAATTCCTGGGGCCTACATGCTGGAAGGAGAGAACTCCTGTAAGTTATCTTCTAACTTCCACATGTATGCCATGGCATGTGCATCTCTTCCCCGTCCTACACTCTCTCTCTCTCTCTCTCTCTCTCTCTCTCTCTCTCTCTCTCTCTCTCAAGAAAAAAAGCAGGAAATCTGTCTAAAATTAACATAACTAGAGGAAGAAAGGCATACTTGTGATGGAACTTTGAGGACTATCTTCTGGGTTATCACAAGAGCTCTGTGAACGAAGCTCCCCAAGAATCCTGTCACACCATATTTTATTTTCAGGGCTGTCTCTCCTTTCTATCACTTCATGGCAAGTTTACAGAATAAAAGCATGAATCGTGCCGGGCGGTGGTGGCGCACGCCTTTAATCCCAGCACTCGGGAGGCAGAGCCAGGCGGATCGCTGTGAGTTCGAGGCCAGCCTGGGCTACCAAGTGAGTTCCAGGAAAGGCGCAAAGCTACACAGAGAAACCCTGTCTCGAAAAACCAAAAAAAAAAAAAAAAAAAAAAAAAAAAAAAAAAAAAAAAAAAAAAAGCATGAATCGTTAGAAACTGGAGAAGGATAAAGGAAAACAAGCCAAAGAGGCAGGACACTTGGGAGTTGCGTTGGTCCACTGTTTATTACCTCAGTGTAAAGTATGAGCCTAGCTGTAGAAAGTGATCTGGAATGCCTGGAGAGAAGAAGGCGAGGGGGTGAAGACACAGAAGCTGGGCTATTCCAGCAGTTCAGCTCCCTTGAAGAGAGGAACCTTATTCAGGAACTGACAGAAATCAAGGAAGGGATGCAGACGACAGTGTGTTCACACTGAATTCAGAGGTATACCACCAATTCTGAAAGATATACAACCCTTTAGCATTTGGACCCAAATGATTAATGAATCAGCTGCCAGAAACTCCCTGATGAAGCTAATTAAACAGTGTAAAGACAGTGGACCAATTTAAAGCAGTTTGCTAACAGTGTTACAGGAATGTTAAATAAATAATAATAGTAATAAAGGCATAATTAATGACGCATAAGCCAAGGAGCTAAGGGATTTGAGTCTTAGTCTTGGCCAATTTCCTTTGTGAGCTTCACTGAGCAATTTATGCTACTAATTAGTATGAATAAATAGCATTATGGAGTGGAGGTTAGTATTATAAGCCCTAACAACTGAAGAATTAAGCTGGAGTTGGCTACCAAATATGACTGACAATGAACAAATGATTCAATTTTTGCAGTATACTTGATCTATAATATTTCATATTTGTACAAAGAGCCACTCACTCTTTATCATAGTAATATAAAAATATATTAAACAAAATTGTTTGAGCTTTAAAAATTGATAGTTAAATATAAGCCACTATGACACTATCTAAATTTTGTATTAATTTAAAAAATGTGATTGTTCAATACATGATACAATACATTGATGCCTGCTCCCTACTAGTTGCAATGGCAATAAACTGACTCCTTTGTTGTTATGGGGCTTTCATTTTTCAAAGCACTTTCACAAATATTAGTTGAAGCAGCCTTACCTATAATCTGTCCACTCCTTGCACAAGCACATTAAACATGAGTTGATGTAACAGAAAATCCTATTATTACTTTGCCACTGCTCATAACATAGTCCCTCTGTCTGTATGGAATTTCTACTTCTTTCAAAGCACTTTCACACATATCAACCGGAGCAGCGGCATTAGGAATGATCTTTTCATTCTTTGTATCATCCCATGGAAACAATCCCAAAAAGAAGAGAAGCTAACAATAAGTAAGAGAGATGATTTTGAGGCAACTGATCCATGATTCTTTTTTAGGAGGGGAGAGGATTGGGTTTTTTGAGCAGGGTTTCATGTAGCCCAGGTTAGTCTCAAATTCACTAGGTAGCCAAGGATGTCTTTAAACTTCTGATTCTTCTGTCTCCACTTCTCAAGTGCTGTGATCACAGGCATTTACCACCATGTCCAGTCTTAACCCATGACTCTTGAACTTGGATTCAGATCTTCCAAGTTTTGGAATCAGAGCAACTCTTCAGGACAGTAAGTTGATGCCTCCTTTCTTCTAGGATAGCTTAGGAGGCAGTAGGGCAGAGTGATTAAAATGTAAGTATGAATTGAGCTGGGAATACAGCTCAGTTGGTAGTGACTTGCTTAGCATGAAAGAGGCCATGGGTCCCATCCCAGCACCTCATAAATTGGGCATGGTTTCTCAAAAACAACAATGAAGAAATATAAGTATATGGGCTGGGCATAATGGCACATGCCTTTAATCCCAGAATTCAGGAGGCAGAGGCAGGTAGATCTCTGTGAGTTGGATGACAGCTTGGTCTACATAGCAAGTTCCCAGGACAGTCAAGGTTACATAATAGACAGACTATCTCAAGAAACCAAAAACAAACAGACAAAACTCTTCTGTATGAGCAGAGGCCTAAAATGTAATAAATTTTCACTAGAATAGTCACTATGATTATCACTAAGGGAAGAACAGGCTACTCAAACTTTCACAGAATATCTGTTCAGGAGCTAAAAGAAAAAAAAGTCCTTTAAGGCCAGCTTCTACCTGAGACTGCATCTCCATAAAAATGTTATAACACATTAACATAACAAGAATGGTTTTATCCTCATTGTCTCTTTAAAAATTAGAACTTGGGTTTTGTAAACAGAAGGTTTCCTTCCAGGGAAAACACTCCAGTTCTAAGAGCAGTTTATACCCAAGTTTAGCTACTATGCAACCTTGAGTGATAGGCAGGCACGCTGCTCTCTGGGAAAAGTGGGATCTGCTGCTTTCCCCAAGCATGGTCTGCCTCTATGGGTGTGGTCAGTTGTCCCCAAAGCTTATTTACTACAGGTACTAAGAAACTCAAATCTCAATAATGTTGGTATGAAGGAGAAGAAAGGCAAAATTAGATGCTTGATAACAAACTAGTAAATAACTACTAGAAACCGCAAAAAGATCTAGATATTTTCTTCATAAAGTTGCAGATAAGTTCCTATGAAAACTTTAAATAAAAACTCATTTTCATTTAATTTGTAATTTAAATAAACATTGATGATTAATGTCATTCTAACCCCCTGTTCAAATTATCAAAATATAACTAGCAGAATAAGATGTATGTGTCTAGTTATAAGGACCTGTAGCATGCACATAATTAGAGTATTAAAGGTAAAATTCTTAATTTTTAATTTTTAAAAAAAATTTTAATTTTAATGAGTGTTTTGTTTAATTTTAATGAGTGTTATGTGCATCACAAGCATGCCTGGTGCTCACAGAGGATAGAAGAGGGAGTTGGGTCCCTAGAACAGAAGTAATAGACAGTTGTGATAGAGTTCCAGGAAAGCCAGGGCTACACAGAGAAACCCTATCTTGAAAAACAAACAAACAAACACAAAATAAATAAATAAATTTTGTTCCTAAACCATACCAATGTTGACATATATTTTTGACATATAAAGAATAATATTACTATATTACTACCAGGAAAAACCACTTATGGTACATTTCTTATTTGAATTATACAGGAACAAATCCTCTTTCATATCTGGGAAACTTCTGTCTGAGTTGTCCAGAGAGTAGTCAGAAAAGCTACAATTACCTGGATATCATGTCCATTTCTGCAGCTATTCAGTTTTATTGCTCCAGTGGAATGGTCAGATAAAGGGTAGGATAAAGTATTACATGAGACATACTTATACTGAAAAATGAGTGTCTGGGGCTGGAGAGATGGCTCAGGGGTTAAGAACATGTACTGTTCTTCCAGAGGACCTGAGTTCCATTCTTGGCACCCCTGTTGGGCAGCTCACCACCACTAGCATCAGGAGATCTGACTTACTCTCCCAACCCTGTAGGCACCCATACCCATGAGGTACACACACGGAAACATACACATAATTGAAAAATAAAATATTTTTTAAAAAATCCTAGTGTTTATCTGAAAGTCAAATTTAAGTGGGTAGTCTATATTTTTATTTACTAAACCAAGGAATTCTATGTTTCAGAATAAATATATTTCAGAAAACACCAAACTCACTGACAGAAAGAGATTTAGTCTCTTGGAAGTTAGGTAATTGTTTACCTTGTAGAAACTTCTTGAAGACCAGGCCACCATGAACACTTCCTGTAGAAGCAACTGTAAGAAAAAAACACACAAAAAAGTAAAACAAGTAAGTAGATTTGACTTTAAAATATCAATGGGACTCTGAAAATGCTGCCTTTAGACTGGAATATTAAAAGGATCTTATTAATGAGTTCACTATAAACAGAGGGCAGAAGAGGTACTCTATGGTACAATGAACACGTGGGGGTTGATGATAACCAACAGCAATTCTTTTCACCTATATTTAGCACCTATAACCAATACCAGGACTGTTCCTTTTAGATGCTGTTATACTTGAAAGAACAGGATCATGGAAAACTCTAAACTGCAACTATTTTTTTTTTTTTTTTTTTTTTTTTTTTTTTTGCTTTTTCGAGACAGGGTTTCTCTGTGTAGCTTTGCGCCTTTCCTGGAACTCGCTTTGGAGACCAGGCTGGCCTCGAACTCACAGTGATCCGCCTGGCTCTGCCTCCCGAGTGCTGGGATTAAAGGCGTGCGCCACCACCGCCCGGCTCTAAACTGCAACTATTGATCAGCGTACATGATGCCAGTAACTAGCATTTGAGTGTAAGACGCAATTAAAACATTGGCCCTTTTTGAACCAATTCTCTCTGAAATAGAAGATATTTTGCCAGTCAATTGGGTTAAGAATTATTTGTACCTATATACCTAGATTTCAAAGAAGAGCTAAGGTTTTTTGTCTTCTTTTTAAACTGAGTTTAATTAGAACTTTACCTCCTGTTTTCAGCATCCTAGAGGCTGGCCCTCCCTAAACCTGATGCAGGGAGAAGCTGGTCTCTGAATATGCTGAAATATGAGCCTCTGTGACAAAAACCAAAACTGTCTTTTAAAAAATGGGTGTAGTGAATCTAATCACGGAGTGTTGAGACAACTAACAAACCTCTTTCCCTTGCGTCAGACATGCTAGCTGTTAGGCCTTTACCCTTTAAGGTGCAAGATTTGACCACTCTAAGAGCAAAGACATACTGATGTTGATATTGAACAAAAAAGAGGTTTCTTCAACAAAGAGTTGGAAGAAAAACTGGAGGAATTTACCACAAAAATATGAAAATAGGGGAGAAAATTTTAGAAAAGAAAAGTTCTACAAATCCACTATCTAAATAATAGAAACTGCTGTAGAAGAACCATGAACAAAATTTCCTACACCCAGGGGCTGGAGAGATGGCTCAGTGGTTAAGAGTCATCTCTCCAGCACCCACATGGCAGCTCACAACTGTCTGTAACTCCAGTTCCAGGGGACCCAACACCCTCACACAGACATACATGCAGGCAAAACAGTAATGTACATAAAATAAAAATAAATTGTTTTTTAAAAAAATTCCCACACCCAAAGTACACAAGTTACGTGCAAAAGACTGAGCACCAGGCATGTTGGCGGAAAACTGACCCCAGCAAGCCACAGGGCTGTGAATTTTCTTGCGCAGGAAGATCAGCAAGTGCTGCTTACTCTTCTCTTCCTAAGCACAATTAGACTACATTTTATAGGTTCCTTTGCAAGTGCAGCACAATTATGACAATAAGACTAAGTCCAGGCCAAAAGAATGGGAACTTAAGTAATTCATGTAATTTCCAAGCCTAGTCTTAAAAATATTATAAGCCTTCTTCTCTTTCTCCATTCTTAGCTGAATGGATAAATATTAGATGGCCTAGGGGAGCATGAAGCCACAAGACTGAAATATCTTGGATTCTACCTTAAAACAAATACATTCCTGAACATATACATTACCTGGTGGTAAAATAAAGGAAAAACAAATATCTCATGTGCTAAATAACTGAAATTTCAAAATTTATCTATTATATCTAATAATGCAAAGATAAAGAAAGTATTACATAAGCTTACAGGGGGAAAAAGAAAAATAGGCCATATACAGAATAATCGTAAAGACCAGAATTTTTAATAGCAACAGTGGAGTTACTAAACAAACACTGCAACATCATCAAAATTCTGAAGAGATATTAATTCTGACTTAGAATCCTATTCTCTGACAAACTATCCATCAGGTATGGAGTGAAGACATTTTCAGAAATACAAGGTCTCGAGAAATTTACCTACCCAACATTCTTTGTCAGGAAGCCACTACAGCCTAAGAGCCATCAAAACAGTGAGTAGGCCAAGAAATAGAGAGACTGGAAGTCAGAAAACAAAATCCAACACAAGAGGAAGAAAAGCAAGAGCCACCTAGAGAAACCTCCAAAATAAATAGCTCTATACACCAGAAACAGAAGGTATCAAAACTAGAGCAGGTTGGAGGCCATCATGGAGGCTTATACCTGCAATCCTACCACTCAGAAGGCTAAGACAAGAGGACTGCTGTGAGTTCAAGGCCAGCCTGGGCTGCAGAGTGAGACCCTTTCTCAGAAAATCAAAACAAAAGATTGGAGCTGTAGCTCCGTGGGGTGCCTGCCTTGTGTTGTGGGTCCCCAGCAGCACATAAGCCAGGTGTGCCAGCATACACCTGTAATTCTAGCACTCTGGAAGTAGAGGAAGGAGAGGCCCAAGCTTAGGGTCACCCTTGGCTACATGTTGAGTCATAGGCCAACCTGGGCCACATGAGATTCCGTTGAAAGTCAGTAATAACAATGCCTTTTACAAAAAAATTTCAGGGTCTAGAGAAATGGCTCAGCAACTAACAGAGCTTAGTTCTCTTACAGAGAACCAGAGGTCAGTTCCCAATTGGACAGCTCACAACTTCTATAATTCCAGCTCAGAGGGATCCACACCTCTAGCCTCCTTGGGCACTGGCATTCACATGCACATACCTACACACAGAAACACACATACAATTAAAAATAAACCTTTTCTAATGGAAAAGATATTACAATACAAATATGTTTAGAAACAGGTAATATTAAAACAATAAATATAGTTAAAAGTGTTAGCCTTTAGGAGGGAAAAAGTCAGAGGGCTGGGCTATCTCATATCTCTCTTGGTGTGTGTGTGTGTGTGTGTGTGTGTGTGTGTGTGTGTGTGTGTGTGTATACCATCTGGGTGTATGTGCAAGCAATTGTGTGCATGCATTCCTGTGAAGGCGAGAAGTTGATATTGTGTTTCTTCCTTAATTATTTCTTTACCTTATTTTTCCCCTTCTTTTCATGTGTATGTGGTATTTGAGTCTGTGTATGTGCATGCATTTGAAGGACCAAGATTGATAGGAATCTTCAATTGCTCTTCTATATTCTATGAGGTACTGTCTTTAGAACCCTGAGCTCACATACATGGCTAGTCTCACTAACCAGTTTGCTCCTGGCATCCCTAGTCTCTCTGCCTTCCAAGGCTCAAATTATAAGCAGTTCACCATACCACATCTACATAAGTTCTGGATATCTGCACTCTCAGCCTAAGCTGACCTGGAACTCATTATATATGCCAGGCTGAACTCAAATTCACAGCAACCCTCCTGCCTCAGCCTTGCAAGTGTTGTGACCCACCATGCCTGACCTGAACTATCCCACTACTAAAATTGTGTGCCTCTATAACCTATAAAACCTAAAACAAAGAGCCTTTCCAAAACTTAATGAAGTAGATCTCTATGTGTTAACACAAAACACTGCCCACTTTTACTAAAAAGCACATGAGACTATAATATACTAAATTCATTTAAAAAATTTCAGTAGCGGGGAGATGGGGGTGGGGGGTGGGTGAAGGTGGAGGTGGGAGGGGGTGGGGTGTGAGAGGGGGGGTGAGGGGGTGTCGCTTGCCTTTGATCCCAGCACTTGGGAGACAGAGGCAGGTGGATTTCTGTGAATTCAAGGCCAGCCTGATCTATAAAGAGAGTTCCAGGACAGCCAGGACTGCTACACAGAGAAACCCTGTCTCGGAAAAAAAAAAAAAAAAAACATACACAGAAAAATCTAGAATATATACTGAATGTTAATAATTATTTCAGGGATTCGGATAACTAGAAAGTCTCACACTCCATGATATGTTTCTGTAATGACGCACTATTTTTCTTGACAGACTATAAACTGCATGAAGATCAGAGATAACAAAGTAGTACTATCTGTGCCAGACCCGCTGAGGAAAGTCCATTATGTTCAACAAGCCTATAGAACTGGGTTTCTTGATAAAAGCAGACACCATTCATCATTTCTTTTCTTTCTCCTTTCCTTTATTTTTGCCTCTTTTGCAATTGCCAAAGTCCATACACGGAAAAATGTAAAGCTCGATAATTTTGTGAAAGAGTAACTTAAAACAAAGAGCAAAAGCAAAATTGTTTTTGAGCAATTTTAATTTAAGCCAGCTATATAGTCTCATAATAAGAATAATTCTTTTTATCTTCCCTATATCGAACACTTACAAGTCCACTACCAAATACTCATTAAAAATCATTTTGGCTTTATAGCTACACTAGAAAAGACCGTGACTAATTGGAAACTTTACATAAACTACGATATGCATCAGGACAAAACAACAGAGAACTGGTGACTGTTCCTCCACTTACTAGTTATTGCACAATGAAGAGAATTCGGCAAGTGCTTCGAGCTCAATGCCTCTATGGAAATGGTTAGCTGCCCTTCTAGCAATGCGCCCTCTGACAGTTCTGTTTCAGACTTCCAGTGAATTATTAAGTATCTCAAAATCTGAAAAGAAAGAACACAATTCAAATAAAACACCATCTTTAAAATCATGGTCCTAACGAATTTGTGTGACACAGTTAAAACTCTAATATAAAATACTGTATTCCTGCTTATGAAATGTCAGATTTACATTTGTTCAGAGCACAGCATTGCACCTAAACACAAAAAAAAATAGCTGGGAAGTGACATGAGTAGACAGTATAATTCAACATGATGTATACCAAGACAGGAAATTAAGAAGGTTAGCTGCTGGGTAAGTTCATCTGGAAATGAACTAAAGAAAAATTAAACAGCAGTTTGTTTTTATTTTCTCCCCAAACAGAAGCCAACTATGAAGAAGAGTGGCATCTAATTATGAATCATTTTTGCCATTCTAATGAACATTTTTGAGGGTCAGAATGAGAGAAATGCTTAGCCATGCTGGAGAGAACCGGGAGGGAGATGGTGGTGCACACCTTTGACACCAGCACTTTGGAGGCAGAGGCAGGCAGATCTCTATGAGTTTGAGGCCAGCCTGGTCCAGAGTGAGTTCCAGGACAGCCAGGGCTACAAAGAGAAACCCTGTCTCAAAAAACAAAACAAAAACAAGCAAACAAAGAATACTGGAGAAGGGCTGGAGAAATAGTTCTAAGGTTAAGAGCACTTGCTGTTCTTACAGAAGACCAGGGTTCAGTTCCCAGCACCCACAAGGCACCTCACAACTTTCTGTTTGCTTTGCAGACCAGGATGGCCTTGAACTCACAGATCTACCTGCCTCTGCCTCCTAAATGCTGGGCGTGAGCCACCACACCAGGCTGAAAAGATTTACTTTTATGTGCATGAGTGTTTTGTCTGTATACACGTAAGTGTACCACATGCTTGCTGCCCACAGAGGTCAGAAGGCAGCATTACCACAAGGGTGCTCCCAATCGAATTTCAGGCCGTTGCAAGGGCAACAAGCACTCTAAAATTTCTCAACCAACCCTTTTTTCTTTCTTTCTTTCTTTTTTTTTTAAGGCAGAGAGTTCCGAGTAAATAAAGTAGGGAAGTAAGATCCTGATTTGTACCAGAGTTCGTGAAGACAGTTTCCAGGCACTTCTACAATCTAACAGCTTCCTTCACATTATCTTCTGATTTCCTGTGCGCCCTCTGTTCAGATTTTTCCAGCGTCTTTATGTATAATGTTAGCAGTTGGGAAAAGAATGCTGGCTGGTGACTCAGAGCCCTGGGTTCTCTCCCAGGTTCTGTCATCAGTAAAATCTAATCCCCCAACTTCCTTTGACGATGACAAAGAAGACAGGAGGACCACGAATATTCTAAGTTATCTCAGAGCCTGTGACTCTATCTATATTCACCTGTGCAGTGTCTTTAGATCTGGAGCTAAGTGCCCCATTAGGTAATGGTTGCAAAGTTCAGCAATGAAGTGAACACATGTTGCTAGCGGGCACCAGGTGTTCATTCAGTGCCATCTTCCAGAACTAAACAGATCTCAGTCCACAGGTATGAAGAACCTAGGACGAGCCCTTGGACTCAACCTTTCGTCATTCAGCCCAGGCTGCCCCGGAAGTCATATCACACCTTGTCCTCATGTTCCCATTTTACATGGACTGGTGCCTCCTTGCCTACCATCTGACTCCCTTGTCCACCCTTTCATGGCTGCACATTTCCTTCCCTCCTTTCCAAGCCTCTCTACATAGAAAACGCTGGGAATCAAGTCGGCCGACTTCCCTCTCAGAATCATCGCAGGTTTGGCAAACATTACGTCGTTCGCGAGCCTTCGCGTTCTCAGCTTCAGGTGGTGGTGTTAGCTCGCACGAAGGCAAGCCCGGAATACACTGGTTCTTCACACAGGCCCCACGAGGGTGATGGATAGTCCAGCGCCTCCATACCTCGGGCCTCACGCCCTCCCCACAATCCCAAAGAAAGCGGGGCTTACATTTTTCTAGCCACCATTTTCACGGCATTTTCCCCTCCACCTCAGGAAATCCCTCCGCCCAAACTTTGGGGTCTCCTCACAACGCCCTGTTCTCAGAAAAGTATCTTTCTCTCCCTTCCCAGCATCACCTCGCAGACGGCCAAAGCCGTCCTCTCCATTCTGTAAGGAGAGCGGCCACAGCGCTCGGGATTGCTAACTGCTCACAACCTCTTCCTCAGGCTTCAAGCCGGGCCAGCGCTCCGCCGGCCCGCCGCCAGCCCGTCCCTTCCCGCCCGGCAGCGCCGTCGCCCCGCCCCCAGCCCTCGCGCCTGCGCACTGGGGGGCCGCCTGAGGCCGCCCGCACCCGTAGGCGGACGGGTGGGAGGACAGGTGGCAGAGCTGCCAAGGTTGGAGGCGAGCCGGGAAGAGGCCGGGCGATGACTCCTCCTGAGGAGACTTTCCCACGGTCTCGACAAGGCGCGGCCCTCGGCCCTTTTCAAAGCGCTTTGACCGCCCTCGGCGTCTTCCAGGGCCGGTCCCTGGAAAGCTGCGGCTGCGCAGTGCAGGATTCCCAAGCTGGCTCTAGACCCCAGACGGCTTCGCCTTCTGTTCTGAGGGCGGTGCCGGGGACCAGACTCGGCTTCCCACATCTAACAGAGGGAAATATGGGTGGCTAATTAAATCTGAATTTTAGGTAAACGATCTTTTTACCCCATCTTATGTATGTCATGCAATAAGATTTGGGATAAGGAAGAAAATTATTTTGAAATTCAAAGCTGGGAGCTGGGGGCTCTGTATTGTATCTGGCAACCTGTCCCCAAATCTCTCCCCAGTCTATTCCAGGAGGAATCTGGGAGCTTCCCACTCTCCTCCAGACACCTTCCTTCCCCTCCTTTGACTTCACAAAACTGACAAGTTTTGTATGGCTGACGAGCAGCTCTGAGTGTCCCCAGCTGGAAGTCCTACAGGCTGCAGAACAGGCTTCGTGAGATGGACTTAGGCTCACAACTACCGAGAATCTGACAGATTGTTCCTTGGGCTGCCAAGAGAAGACACTGGTATAAGAGATTCTTGCCTGGCAACGAGTTACCCAAGGAAAAGGGTGGAACAGGGTGTTGGCCGCTTTCCTTCGGAGAAAATTCTTCCACTCCAGAAGCTGGGATTGGACAGAACAAGCGGTGGAGCTGGCAGAGTGCCTGCCCGGCACACAACCTTGGTGACCTGAATCATACCCCTTTCCAGTGTGATCAGCGCTCTTGCCCGATTCCCCAACTCGGGTGTTCACACCTAGACATACTGGAGAGGTGGCTTTTATTTCTGGAATATTCATTTTAATCATCAGAATTAATAAAAAGCTGACATTTGGGGAGTCACTGGAGTCTTTCCCTCTTTTCCACATCCCTTTTAAAATGTTTCCCATTGAAAATGTTAGCTCAGCAGAAAAGCTCCGCCTTGAAAATACCACTGGAGACGAAGGGTGGAGGAACAGGAGCTAATGGCAAAGAACCTGAGGTGAGTTGGTCGTCTTGGCTATCAGCCCTCCTCCTTGGAATGAGCCTCAGGGACAAAGGTGCAGGGAACACCCAACACTATCCTATGTGTAGGCATATACCTAACAAAGGATCCTGGGAGAGTACCCTCACAGTGAATCTAGACCAAAGCGGGAGGGGGGGGGCTTTAATATGAAGGTCTACCTTTAGGACTCCCATAGTGTTTATTCCCATAACCAGGCAAGGTTTGATACAGACTTGACATTTGCTGAGCCCAGACTCTGTGCTATCCACTCTACTTCTGTTTAGCTCCACTTGTTAAAAGTAATCCTTCTGTGTAACAGGTATAAACAATGAAAATGAGGCTCCAAGGAGAGGTTGTCTAACACTCCGTTTGTGAATGTCGGAACCAGAAGCTTAAAACAGAAACATCTCCTAAGTTCTCTTTGCACTTCTCTACATCTACTCAGTGTTTCTCCCACCTGGATGCAACCTGCCTAGCTGTCTGGAAGTTCTGCAGTGTGACCTTATTGATGTTACCATAAAATGAGGACCCCCCTCTGCAAGATCTAACGAACCAAGGCCATGATACCCTCCTCTCCCACAAACCAGGACTTGACTAAGCCACAGCTTCCACTCACTTTTCTTACTTGTCAGGCTATATCTCCACCCTGTTTAGATCTAATAAGTAATATGCTGTTGGATACCACATTATGAAACCATTTTTTATTCAAATTCTTCCCTCAGGCCAGTAAATGCTACAGTCAGAAGGGATTGCTGAGGTGACCACTTGTCTTCAATAGATTAAGATGTGTGAGGCCCAAGCAATTAAATGGCCTGACTAAGGTAAGGCCACTTAGTCCATGGGGTCAACCGAGAAGCCTTTGTAGTATTTCCAGCCTGACCTTTGCTCTTTGGAACCTGAAGTGTCCTCACCGATTCCTAGTTGGTTGGTATGGCCTTCTGGTTGTGTTGTGATCCCTCTACCCACTCAGGGATTAGACTCAGGTTTCATGTCTTCTTTGGATAGTGATTGTTCTGAGACAAAAACCCTGCCTGGCCAGTAAAACCCTACCTTGAGAGCCCCAGATTGACTCTGAAGCCCCCCAAAGACAAAAAGGGGGCCTTGAATGGAACTAGAACATCATAAGCAATGCTGCCAGACAGTGACATTTTAGGGACTGGTAAGCTGCCTTTCCCTTTTCAATGTGTTCTCTAGACATATTCCAGACACTTCTTAGGTTGTACCTTATTCTCAAGTTCTTCCAGATCATGTGTCCTCAAAGAAGTCGACCTTAGGAATTTAGATGGAAAATATCCCTGGGGCCCCCTTGCTAAACTATTGTGAAATAAGGTTCATTTGAGGACTTTCTCCCCTAGGAAACAAGCAACTATTACAAGAGGCCATTTCCCACATAGACAATGAGAAAGGGTTAACTGCTTCTCTGAGGTCCTGAGAGAAGTCTGTCCCCCACCAGCTCCCATAACCGGGTTTCCTGAAATGGAGCAGGTCCCAGGTGTCTCTCCACTAATCACATCCTTGCAAATGGGGCCATGAGCTCAGATTAGCTCATCCCTTCACCTTCTTGAGGCCTTCTCCACCTGGAGCACAGAATCTG